CTATACTGTTGAAGATGGCGATGATATAAAGAGACACGTAATTGAGTATTACATTTCAAGAAATATACCTTTAAGCATAAAAAGCATCAAAGATATAGTTTTTAATGAAAATGAAAACTTAGATTGTTGGTTAGATGGTATTGAAACCGTTAACGGACATGAAGCAGTGATAATAGTTGAGGTAAATATGTTTGTAAGGTTTCATCATTTCAATTATTATGAAGACGACCATTTTAACACTTTTAGTTTTCATTTTCGTAGTGATGATTTTGTAGATAATATAACCATAGATAATATATCCGAAGTAATGATAGAGGCACATCAAACAATATACAGATGTATTGATGATGAAAGAAGTAGAATGAATTTTGGAGGAGTACAAAACATAAGGTTTAAACTAATTGTTGATGAACCTGTGTAATTCATAACTGAACCATAATTATATCATTTATACTCTTATATGTTATAATTATAGTGAACTTTTAATCTATAAACATTTCATTAAATGACAAACCACAACAACCGCCCAAAAGCCAACCCGTGAAACCGCAGAAAGTCCTAACCTCTTTCAATCAATAAAACTAAAAGTTGAAATCTGGAACGAGACAGGGGACCAAATCATCAATTCGTTACCACATCCATATCGTTATTTCTTGGCCCCAGAATCAGCCTTTTAAAAACGGATAAGGTGGTACACGTGTTGAATTGTGAAATAGAAAACAGAACAGGCAACCATCAACCCCTCACCCCCTAGAATCAGCCTTTTCTACATTTTTCCCCCCCCCCCCAAGGACCGCGCGGCAATTTGATGACGTTCCACTAAACGTAGTCTTCGGGGAGCGGTGTCGCAAAACAGGCGTCCCAGGCTCGATTCCCCCTGCCGGCTTTTTTGCTGGCTTGGGCTTCCTGCATCCTTTTGCCGAAAATCTGGCAAAACTCTGTGTTTTTGGACATCCTCTTTGCGAAAACGCTGGAAAAACCGTGTTGTGTGCGGGAAATACTGGGGAGCAAAGGGGAAGTGCAAGGATACATACATACATACATACATACAGACAGACAGACAGACAGACATACAGACATACATTACATTACATTACATTACATTACATTACACAACATTACATTATATTACATTATATTAGTTTACATTACATTACAGTACATTACATTACGTTACATACATACATATTATGTACATACATACATACATACATACATACATACATACATACATACATACATACATACATACATACATACATTACATACATACATACATACATACATACATACATACATACATACATACGTACATACATACATACATACATACATACATACATACATTACATACATACATACATACATACATACATACATACATACATACATACATACATACATACATACATACATACATACATACATACATACATACATACATACATACATACATACATACATACATACATACTTACATACATACATACATACATTACATACATACATACATACATACATACATACATTACATTACTTTACATTACATTACATTACATTACATTACATTGCAGCATTACATAACACATACATACTTACATTACATACATTTCATACATTACATTACATTACATTACATACATACATACATACATACATGCATACATACATACATACATACATACATACATACATACATACATACATACATACATACATTCATTATGACATACATACATACATATTACATACATACATACATACATACATACATACATACATACATACATACATACATACATTAAATACATACATTACATACATACATACATACATACATTACATACATACATACATACATACATACATACATACATACATACATACATACATTACATACATTACATTACATACATACATACATACATACATACCATTACATACATACATACATACATACATACATACATACATACATACATACATACATACATACATACATACATACATACATACATACATACATACATACATAAATACATTACATACATACATACATACATACATACATACATACATACATACATACATACATTACATACATACATACATACATTACATACATTACATTACATTACATTACATTACATTACATTACATTACATTACATTACATTACATTACATTACATTACATACATTACATACATTACATTACATACATTACATTACATTACATTACATTACATTACATTACATTACATTACATTACATTACATTACATTACATTACATTACATTACATTACATTACATTACATTACATTATATTAGTTTACATTACATTACAGTACATTACATTACGTTACATACATACATATTATGTACATACATACATACATACATACATACATACATACATACATACATACATACATACATACATACATACATTACATACATACATACATACATACATACATACATACATACATACATACATACATACATACATACATACATACATACATTACATACATACATACATACATACATTACTTACATTACATTACTTACATTACATTACATTACATTACATTACATTACATACATTACATTACATTACATACATACATACATACATACATTACATACATACATACATACATACATACATACATACATACATTACATTACATACATACATACATTACATACATACATACATTACATACACATACATACATTACATTACATTACATTACATTACATTACATTACATTACATTACATTACATTACATTACATTACATTACATTACATTACATTACATTACATTACATTACATTACATTACATTACATCACATCACATCACATTGCATTTACATTACATTACATTACATCACATCACATTACATACATACATACATACATTACATACATACATACATACATACATACATACATACATACATACATACATACATACATACATACATACATACATACATACATACATACATACATACATACATACATACATACATACATACATACATACATACATACATACATACATACATACATACATACATACATACATACATACATACATACATACATACATACATACATACATACATACATTACATACATACATACATACATACATACATACATACATACATACATACATACATACATACATACATACATACATACATACATACACATACATACATACATACATACATACATACATACATACATACATACATACATACATACATACATACATACATACATACATACATACATACATACATACATACATACATACATACATACATACATACATACATACATACATACATACATACATACATACATACATACATACATACATACATACATACATACATACATACATACATACATACATACATACATACATACATACATACATACATACATACATACATACATACATACATACATACATACATACATACATACATACATACATTACATACATACATACATACATACATACATACATACATACATACATACATACATACATACATACATACATACATACATACATACATACATACATACATACATACATACATTACATACATACATACATACACATTACATTACATTACATTACATTACATTACATTACATTACATTACATTACATTACATATACATACATACATACATACATACATTACATACATACATACATACATACATACATACATTACATACATACATACATACATACATACATACATACATACATACGAGAGAGGGAGATTGGGGAGAGAGAGGCTTGGGGGGATGGGGAGGTTGGGGAGCAGAGGGAGGGAGAGAGGACGACAGAACACACCAGGGAGACAAGGGAGAGAGGAAGAAGGAGAAAAGGGAGAGGACAATGTTGGCGGACTGAGCCGGAGGCTCTAAAGTTATATTCACCTGCATGTAAATACATTTGTGTATGCACTGTTGTAACCCAGAAGGCCTCTCCAAATAGAACCAAGTCCCCCAAATGGGTCCTCCCAGTTTTCATGTTAGCCTGGGGGAGGGTACACATGCTATATTCCGAGCACATGAACTACGCCGTTAGTGGTGGTACTATGCATATTGTGCTTTGTGCTAGTGGCGATGCATGTACTCAGCATGGTCTGAGGGAGCGTATTCATTCAAATTTGGGGATAGACAATGACATACAGGTGTCCGCAAACGCGACACTGCAAACTGCCGTAAGACAGCTCACATGAGATTCCGTTTTCCTTTTCGTCTCATGAGGCTAAGGAGCACGCTTTAACCCCAAACTGGCCCTCCGGTGCAAAAGCCAATGGCACATACCCTTTCTGCGAGCAGCAAGGCGGATCATGAAACGGACATCTGGAAGTTGCGCTATCTGCTTTCACCCGACTGTAGATGTTCACATCCTGTTTGCTGTACACACACACACATGTATGGACATCTATGTGGCCTGCATCCTCCAAGACGATCACAAACCATGTTTAGGGACCACGGTTTTGAGAACCCCCGACGTAGCTTGGGGCACCTTCCTGATCCTCTAGTCAGGGGAACAAACTGCCTGCAGATAGTTGTTCCAGAATCCAGACTTGCACAACCGTATTTGCGGAAGTACTCGCGGCCAGGGTGGTGGTGAGTTGTCAACCTTTGATTCACCTTGCGAGTCCAAGGAAGCTTTTGCCGGTCGCAAAGCTCGATGGATTCAGGTCCCAGGCAATCAACGTTCTCGTGGTTACCTGCTAAAGTGGTAGCTGTTGTTTTCTGGCGGGGGCCCCTTTAGTGGGCAGTCCGACAGTCCCGTTGAACACATCAAGTATATCTATCCTAGCTCAATCCCCGGTGATGTCAGAGTCCCGTAAGAAGATTCCTCTACACCAGACTGCTTTTTGGGTCCCTGTGCTGCTGTGCGGATAGTACTCCATGTTTGGCACTTCATGCAGCCCCTGTCCTCGAGTGCCCCCACAGCCTGATCGTGTGGCTGGGGCCGACTGGGGCTTGAGGGCAAGAGTTTTTGAGCTAGCGCCCGTTTTGGGGACCATGCGTCCATGATTTCCAAGATTGATTCAGAGCCATAAAATGGCCAGGACCCTTGATGATTCTTAATAGGGCGCAACAGTCAGGAATAATCACTACTGATTAGGCTGGCTATTTGGATTCGCAAAATCACAACATGCGGCACCCCAGCTTGATTTGCCACCACCGTCTCTAAGTTGGAAAGTAACACTGGACCCCTCATATGGAGGGAACCTCCAGCGGAAGTCAAAGGCTTTAAGCCTTTCGGCTGACAAGTTGGTGCCCTTTCAGGCCTATGCCTGGACTATCCCTACCCTAACAAATGGTTGGCCGCGTATCCATAAACTGTGATCCTCATTTCTTGAGCGGATTGGCAAAAATACACATGTTCTTTTCTGACGAAAGTTGCCCTCCCCCCAACAGTATCAAGTCCAGGAACTCGGGAATTTAAGGGGTACAACACCACAGCGTGCCTGTATCTCACCTGCCTGAGACTCTATGCTCAGGCTGAAACGCCGACCCATGAGGGTAGCTACAACACGTCCTCAACTTGGGACCTAACGGCATTGCATTTTCCCTTGGGTCACCGTTCGGGGTCCAAAAGAAGTTGTAGCCCTGTCTTGTTTTAGGAGCAGGAACTGCCATTTCCACTGGGTGTCCAGGCGACTTGTTTTTCAACCAGAGAGGGCGTTTTTTAAAGGAAAATCCGGGCACGCCGAGAATGGTCTTCGCAGTGCCTAACCCGTCCGGCGAAGCGTACCTCGGGACCTGCACCAAAGTCACTCTTTGGGCTCGTTTGGAACCTTCACCACGCGGGCAAGGCACGGGCTTGGCCAGGCGAAGGTGCACCACGTTTCCTGACGGAGGTTCCCGGATGCAGGCCGAGGATTTGAGCTGAACTTCGAGTGGTTTGGAGACAGTTCGAGGTGAGCATCTCGGAGAACACTGAGTACACAAGGTGAAAACCAACAGTTCTGCAAGTCAATATGCACGAGCAAGTGTAAGGAGGCCGTGACGTGGCTTCCCTTTTTTTCCAATGGCTGAGTTACTTCATGTGGAAAGAATCCGCAACCTCTGGTGTGACCAACATAGCTAACACCACAACTACAAGGAAAATCACAGACATCTGGCATAAGGATTCAGGGCTGAGTTGGAACAACCCGGGCAGACACCCCTATCAGGATGGAAGAAACCCGAGCTGATAAAGCACAGCTCCCTGCTCCGAAGCAGATTTTGTACCATGTGTGGCTTCCTTTGCCTTTTCAACCACGAAAAAGGTTTTCCAACCCCACACTCCTTCCCCGTGGATTTGCTGTATCCATCCACAGGTCATTTGGCAGCCCCTCATCTACTCGGAGCTCACTCTGTGGCTTGTGCCAAAGCGCTTGGCAACGAAGCAACGAACCACCCACGTCTTATGCTTAGCTTGGCCAAACTTAGGCTGTAGAGACAACTTGTTGCTGGATACAAGGTAAAACTAACCCGAAAAGGACCAAAGGGGCAAAAAGGCGAATTCAGTCTGACAACGTTAGTAAGAACCCAAGTGGATTTCTTGCCATGGTTCCCTTAGTAAGATCCAGATTGCACTCCATCAGTAAGATCCACATCCTCGGTAGCAAGATTCATGTGTTGTCCTCCTTTTGACTAGCCAAATGGAAGCTCACCACTCCAAATGAAAGCGCCCCGACTTATCCAATAGAAATGGACGTTCCCGCGAAGCAGAAAGCCTGCGGAAAACGGAAAACACAAAAACTTAATCTGGTCCTGCCACTCTCACGTCTTTGCCGGCACGCAGATCGTTCAGCCAAACGGTCCTTGGGCAAGCGAGTCAAGCCCTCGTACCACTTCGAATGCAACAATTTTCTTCAGGGTTTCCTTAAGCGGCCCAGGGTCTGGTTACATGTTTAGCCCAACCGAGCAAGGGAAATGATAATTTGGAAGCCACGCGATTCTCTGGATATTGGACCTGTTGCAAGTCTTGCGGCCAGCATTTCTAGCACCCAGCCCTTCTAGACACTGGTAATTAGGTGATGCAAGGCGCAAAGGCTGCCCAATGTGACGACTGTCTGAAACTTCCCATTCGCGGGAATCAGGTGGAACCCTTGGTTGCTTTGGATTGGTTTGGGAATTTCAAGCCCTGGCTCCTGCGGAAAATAGTCGATAACCTCCACGCGTCAGCCCCAAAACGCTTGGGGGGCGCCCAGCATGCACCTCACCAATGGCGGCCAGCTCCGTACACGTGTTCTGAAGCGCTGGCTGGGCTCACAATGTGTCGAAACGGCTGGTTTCCCCGTTGGCTTCTCTTCAAAACCAAAACGGGGTGCCCACACAAAAGCATACCCTGTACATCGCAGTGCTCAGGGGGGAGTTTACACCAGTCCCGGCTGCTGGAAGTGCGCTCTTCCTGAGACGGGTCAGAAAAGTTACTGAGCTCGCCGTTCGCCGAGCTCTTTCCAGGTCAGAGAAGCCAGAAACTGGGGAAGGAAGTGGCCTGGCAAGTGGTGATTGGCCGCCCAAACTGACTCGACCATTGACAAATGTGAAGGACGAACTTGCTTGGTTCAATAAACAACAACCACAATAAAGGTCCCGCTAGTCCCTGGACGATTTTCTGACTTTCTACCCTCTGTGCTGGTGTTTCGAATCATTTGATCAGACATGTCACGGTGAAAACTCCCATAGTAGGCCATGGTCATAACTTCCCATGGGCCAGCTGCCTTGCAATGGTTGCCTGAAATCCCAAATGGCTGAGGACTACCCCTGTACCAACTCCTCCGACATCTAACGAGGGCGCGGTCCACTTTAAAGGGGGCTCGGTCTTCCCCAAGCAGAGACACGTGAGCGAAACATCCGGTTGCAACTGGGCGGGGATACTCGGGCCCCCCTTCTTGCCGCCGAATTTGCGTGGTATAGTCCTGGCAGAAGCAGTCCGTGCCAGCCACATCCTTGAAGTAGAACCTAACCACTTCAACTTGCGGCTCGGGAAGTTGGGAACGTCGCGAAAAGCGAAGAGGATCAAATTCCTCGCCGAAGACCCCGGAAAGGCTCGGGGGATTGGACCGGGTGCTCAGGGTCGCCTTTGGGCCGTCTCTGAATCCCCCTGGGATGCTGGGAGCTTCCCCAAGGCTAGCAAGGAAACCAACTTAAATGTGGGAATGCCGAAGGTCACAACCCACTGGCACAACCTTGATTCCCAAATTGCACGCGAACCAAGCGAGAAACACCGGGTCATGCTAGTTCATCTATTCTTGAAATCGCTGTGGCTCAGATATCTGAAGAAGTCAACTCGTCAACATCTGCGGTGCCCTCCGCTTAAAAGGCACAAGGGCCTTGGAGATGGGTGAAGTCTGGCGCTGACCAAGTTCATCCTGCCGGTTTCAGCAATCACCAAGGGCATGCCCGAAGTCTGTGTGCCTGGCCAAAGTGCATCTCTTGAGGATTCCGCCGCTATTTGAACTATCAAGGTCGCAGTGTCATAACTCAACAAGGCCATCTTGCAGGAATCCCCGATCTGTGACCAAGATCTGTTTCGGGGAAGCCAAGATCCTGAAGGTCACTTCCGATCCAGTGGACTGGCCAAAGCTCCGTGCTGCTTGTCTGCCACGGACATGGCCTTCCCATGGTAAAATGTTTATCAAAGCTCATGAGCGCAAAAAGTGAGACAATGTCGAGCCCCGGACGAATCAACCTTGCAAACGCGTGATGGCCCCCAAAAGTGATTCGGATTCCAACTTCAATGGGACATTCCCCCGTCAAAACCAACCGGGGTTCCCGTTACCGGCTCGGCAGCCATGTGGCTTCACACTCATCCGCTCCGTCTTGCACGCCGGCGCAGTTCCGGCCAAATACGAATTCGCCTGCGCCAGGCTTTGGCCCAAAAAGGTGGCCCAGAACCCACACGGATCTGGCGTTTTGTGAGCCCCCCCCAAATCAAAATGCTGGTTTACCGCTTGGTTTTGAAGGGTTAAGCCAACCAGAAAAAGCACCAGTCGGCTGGAATTTGGATCCTCTCTCGATCTTGGACCAAGGTGGGCCATTCGACCGGATTCAAATCCTTGCGTTCCAACTTTGGGGGTGGGATTGGGAGCCTTTGGCGCTCTCTTCGTTGCTTTTTCTCACGCGTACATCCATAAATAAGCAAACAAATAACTAACGAAATAAATATATAAGCTCAGGTGAGATCCCCAACAGCATGCGGTGCTCTTTTTAGTACTCGCACCACCCCGCAGCCCTCGTGGAACCCTGGTGGAACCCTGGTAAAACTCTGGTGGAACCCTGTGCTGGCACCCTCGTGGAACCGTACCTCAGGGCCGCCCCGGACCACCCCGGAGCCTATCTGGGCTGAGACCCCAAAGCTTTCAGCTGTTGGGGAATAAATTAACATACTAGAAACAGCAATAATCATATTACTAATAATAATAAAATAATAATAGTAATAATAATAATAATACTAATAATAATAATACTAATAATAATAATAGAATAATAATAAAATAATAATACTAGTGATAATCATAATGATAATAATAATACTACTACTACTACTACTACTAATAATAATAATAATAATAGTAATAATAATAATATAATAATAATAAAATAATAATAATAATGATAATAATAATTATAATAATAATGATAATAATAATAATGATAATGACAATACTAATAATCATAATAATCATATTAATAATAATAATACTACTAATAATAATAATACTAATAATAATAATAATAATACTAATAATAATAATAACAATAATAATAATACTACTGATGACAATAATAATAATAACAATAATAATAATAATGATGATGATAATGATAATAATAATAACAATACCAATACTAATCATCATCATAAGCACAACAAACGTGTGTTTCTGTTTGATGCTCTTTGGGGCCTCTGTTTCTCAAATCCTGAGTGGATTGGCCCAAACAAGGCTTACCGCTCAAATCATCCTGACCCCAAAAGTCACTAAAGCAGTGAGGAATTCGTTGGGCGGAGCTGGATGCTGAGCGGGGTGAGAAGTGGGAAGGGCCAAGAAGGCAAACTTGTTGCAAACATTGTTGCAGGCGACCTGGTTTCCCCCCCTTAGTTCGCAATTCCCAAATCGCCTGTCGCATCTCTCCAATCTCTTGGCCTAAGACTGTGAAAAGCAAGATTCCAATTGAACTTCATCTGGGAGGATCAGCCACAGCCCTGATTTTCAAGGTGGAAGATCAAGGGTGCATTTCTTGAAACTCCTTTCCCCAACGGTCGTGTCTTAAAAAGGGGCCCCCAAAATAACGGCTGTCCTCTCGTTTTCCCTTTTGACCCCACACCACACATACCGAAGCGCAATCTGGGCTGTCCTCAGATCTCCTGTTAAAAGTTTAACTTTTAGTGGGCTACACGGAAACCCCCAAACCCTACGATCCCTGTTTTCCTCAGGGGACGGCTGCGAAACCGCCGAGAAATGACAAGAAAACAGCGGGTCGGCGCGCTTTGCACTGGCAGTCGCTGAAGGAGATGGGGCCGGCACTCTCGGCGCCGAAGACGGCGCAGGAGGGACGGGCATCTGACGGCGCTCATGAAGCGGAAAAACAAGTGTTTCTATTATGGGATTTTCTCCAACAGCTGAAAGCTAAGGGGTCTCAGCCCTTAAATGAGGTTTGGGTGGCTTGGGGAGCTCTGGAGGCAGGTTCAAGCAAGGTTCCGGAGGTTCTGGGGTGGTCTTGAGGCTAGGTGTAAGGTTCAACGAGGGTTCGGCAGGGCTCCGCAAGTGCTATCTACGGCTCTGAAGGGCTTCCTAGGGCTAGGGGCTGGGGGGGGGTTATAGGGGGTGGACAGGAAACATTCCCAGAATCTGTTCTGCTGGGGCTGAAGAGGAGCTGAAGGCTTTGGTTGCAATCCGAAAAGGGGGGGGTTACCTCAAAAGGAGATTCCACTCCAAATGTTCCATACTTACCTGTAAGAGCGTAGAGGCATCGGTTCGACTAGCCAATTCAACACCTATAGAATAAGTCTGCAACATCTCTACAATATGTCCAAAACCTGGAATAAGCGATATTCGGGTGGGTGGCTTAGTTTCATCATGGCGAGCTCGTGTTACCCCTTATTGGTGAGCGCGCGAGGAAATAGTTGAAGGTGCAGGGGCAAACTGGATGTGGGTGACCTGCAATACGCGCTTTAAAATACTCAGCAGAGCTGCCAATGGCCACCTCCAAATCCCGAAGGAGGAGGACAGAAGATGATGCCGAAGACAAAGGAGGACCGATGTCCATTTGCTTGTCCTGTGCCTTACAAAAAGGTATTTTTCATTATAATTCACAACGCACAAATTCCAGATCCCTACAGAAAACACAACCTGCATCATGGAGGATGTCGCAGCCCACCTACCCCAGTGACGCCGCTACGTTTCGCCCAGAAAAATGACTAATTCCCTCCCACGACATCCAATCATAGGATTCCACCTGCCCCTCTCCCCCCCTCCCCCTGTTTCCCCAAATCTGAGGGGGCTTCAAACATCCCAAACCGCCACTCAGGGATCATGTTGGGGTATGGAACCACTACATAGCCACTAGAAGGTACACGGCATGCACCCAACTTTCCCTTGGGTATTTCTTGAGGGTATCGTCGGGCTTATTTTTCAGGAAACTTCACCGAAACGGAGTCCTGACCATTTTGGTGGGCAATCCATATTGCATTTGGAGACAAACCAACCCTCACAAAACACGAACCAAAGCGGGTTACGTCTAAGAATCTTATGCAGGTATGGGACTGAGTGCTAAATGCTATTTATGGTTCCTATGGCTCACTAGATCAATTTGTCATCTGGTTGCCATTGATCGCACGTAGCCCACTGGTTCAAGGGAATGAGCACGAGACAGTTCAAGAATCAAAATGGGGGGGTGGGGTACTATGAAGCCAAATTCCCTCATGATGACGGGAAACTCGGGCTTGCATTCTCGCAATAAAAAGCCGCCTTGTCCAAGCAAACCTCCAGCCCAGTCCCGTCCCCTTCCCATTGGCCCATCCGCCTGTTCTGGCAGCACGCCGGGGGCTGAAAAAGAGGCCTTCGGACCCGATCGATCGGTCACAAGCTGATGGGTTCTGCCTGAAACTCGCACTCGAAATCAACAGAATGTCACAAAAGAACCCTCTTAATACGAGAAGAAACAACGAAACTGACCTGTATCTCAGAAACCCGGTGGACGTTGAGGGGAAGGGCATGTTTCTCTGTTGCCTAATTTCTTGAAGGGACACCCTTATCTGCAAGGAAAACAGGGGTGTTCCTGGGCGAACGGCTTGTTGATCTTTGTAGACCTGTAGTAATTGGCTCCCGTTTGACTTTCCTTCACGACCATCCAAAAGCGGGGTCTTTTTTGAGAAAATCGCACGAGCTTTAAGTAGATGGACCCTTTGGCGGACATCAGACATTCAGCTCTGGCCAATCATCCCACCGACACCAAATGAGATGTTGCTAGCTTCCTGTAGGCGGGTTTGTCTTTCTTGTCTCGACAAAGCTTGCAAGAGAGACATACTCAGTAGCTGGGCACGGGGGGATGTTGGAGATGTTCAATGGAGACAAATTGTTTGCCTTAGCCCACACCCTCCAGCGATCTTTTCAAGGCCCAATAGGACCCATGTCGTGATCGGATTTACTTTTGCTTTTCGGGGGGTTGCAAGCGACCAAAGGAAGGCGGGCCCTTTCTGTTTCACCCTCTCCTTGGTTGACGTTGGAAGGAAAGCAAAAAAATAAAATTTAGCAGTTAAGTGGGGATTTCCCACTAAACCACAATAAGCAACAATGTAAAATGCTTCCCAACAACAACCATGTCTCACAGAATAGTAGTTGTTGCAGGCTTCCTGAAGCATCAAGAGGTCTAGAAAGGGGGCCCTTTGAGTCAGCCGAGTAGTGGTCACACTTTCTGTTTGGAAGAAAAGCCCAACCCGCACCCTGGTTGCAGTGCAAGGGGCTAAACCATTACGCACATGGTCTTTGCAAGCGCCTAAATTCGCTCCCTCTCTCTCTCTCTCTCTCTCTCTCCATGCACACCACAAATTATCTCAAGATAGGGGATCCATGGTTGGTTTCTTTTTGGCTTCTGTTCACACATGACCAACAGGAGGGCCATCTCAACTTGGCCCACATCTGGCGTGCGAAAACACATATGTTCAAATTCTGGTCCAAATCTAGCCTACTTCACAATATCGAACACATGGAGGAGAATCTAGGTAAGCCGGTCGGCTTCAAAATAGGACTCACAGAGTCTCCCATGTTCAAACAACAAGAATATTATTTTGGTTACTTAGTTTATTCTCCCCCTACCCGACATCACTCTGATGGCATGAACCCTCTTTGGGATGTCCGGGTTTACCGACCCCCAAAAAAACTTTGCTTGGTACTCCCCTGCAAATTAACATGGAACCCGGAGAAGCCCCATTTAGGAATGGAATCTCTTGGGAAATGGATCTCTTTTGCGGGTTCCAAACGCAAAGCTAGGAACCGTTTTGAGCCTTGAACCCCTGGCTCAGCTTTCTCGGTGGTTTGGCTTGGTGGTTTGGAAGTAGGGTAGCTTCCAGTAAGAACTCAGGGTTCAAATCCCCAGGACTCCAAGCCCCCCAAAAGGTATCTGACTCGCGCCTCTGTCGGCCTGCCCTTTCAGATTCACGAAGCTCCGGACCGACAGGTCACGGCGATTGCCCAGGTCCTCCCAAAGATCAAACAACAACCAGGAACGAAAAACCTGCGAACCCCTTTTAACAAACAACGCGTTGAACAGAACAACAACACGACACCACCCCCAATAGTATGGCGTGAACAACTGCATGTGTTAATCTCGATGTGATTTGCTGTTTGGTGCTTCCAACAACGCTGTCACCATGGCGACCCCCCTGTAAACCAAAACTCTTGAAACCCATCAACAGATGCAATGTTAGGCACTGCCGCGCTGGCAGCTGAACAACCACACATCAACTGAACGCTCACCCCCGCGATGGCCGTGGACACTTCGACGATTTGTTCAGACCGATCCCCCCAAAGGACCATCGAGGGTGGGTCTCACCGTGGGAAGCTATCAATATGTGGATGTGCCGGGGTTGGCAAAGGTCGTTTGCCAATTTCCCTACGAAGCGAGGGTAATCCCAAAGAGCCGTAAGTGGCTTGGATTGGAGGGATTTGAAGATCTGGTTCTTGCAATGAAGTGGGGAGGCACCTGCGGAGCAAGTTCAAACCACCGAGCTCCAAACCACCAATTTCGAGGGGAAGGTGATGTAGGCCCATTGAGGCCGCCGATATCTGAAAACCCGCCCAAGAGAACCTGGTCATCCCTCTGCTTTCTGTGCAAAATTTGGGTTCTCCCCCGCCTGTCCTCCCACGGTTGACTAGCAATATCGGTGACTAGAAGACCCCTTTCAAACTGGACCCATCAAAGTGACACAGAAACACAAAAAACATGCCCTGCAAATGATTTCAAGGAACACCACCGAGACAGACAGCAGCCTGCGAGATGGTATGGTTCACGCCCCGCAGTGTCACTACCTCGCACGAGAGTCCCGAACTGTTGCAACCAGTGACCCCGAATGGAACAAATCCTTTGGAACCATATGGGTGTTTTCGTTTCACTACTTCGGGTTCTTTTTGGTTTCTTAACAAAAAACCAGTCGGTTTCGTTTTGGCTTCCATTTCGTTACCAACCAAACAGGGGTCTACCATTTTGAGAACCCCTAATTTAGCTTTGCCACTGACCATTCCTAGTGGGGAACCAAACATGGAAACGGGGTGTTGAAAACCTGGGATGTCAAGGACTATTGTCACGTGCCCCTTGTCCCGGAGAGAAAGCGTTGGTTGTCTTTTTGGCTTCCCTTCAAACCAACCTGAAGAGGGTACCCTCAAAAGACACGCTCCCGTAAAGGAACATATGGGTGCTAGCCTGTGTGTGGCGTCCCAAATCGCGAAACCACTGAAACCAACTCCGGGGAGCTGATGGCTTCAATCGCCCCACTGGCAGCGGTTGCGTTGATTTTGTGGAAAAAGAAGAGCACCACCAAGAAGCCCCTGAAGCAACCGAACACAAGGGAACACAAAGTGAACAATCACCATGTACACATAGTCCCGGACTCCGGGTCTCCAGCCTTTTTGTGGTTGGTGCATGGAGTTGGTGCAAGGAGCTGTTGCCCCCGAATAAGGTGGTGCAGGATTTTGTCCATCCACAGTATTTCCCTCGGACTTTGGGGGGTCTGGCTTCCAGCTGAAGGATATACCCATGAGCCATTTGATAAACGCGTGGGTGTCCAAAGACAAGGAAACCCCAAACTCGGTGGTGATTCTTTGGTTTTCAAGTGATGCAATCCCGCCATCCGATGGTCTGCTTGCTCGCGCATCCTCCATTTGGCTTCTGCAATCGCATACAACATGTCTGTCCATGAACATGTGTATTTTGAAGAGGTCCCATGCTCGAAAAAGGGAACCCCGAATTCGGGTGGTTGTAAAGGGAAGCAAAAACGCCCTAATACTGAATAGTTTTTTTTCATAGACCGCCGGGGTCCTAAAACCATGGGAAACCATTGCGTGGGTTCGAATTTACAGGGAAATCATCATTCTAGGGTTTCTTAGGTGGTGCGACATGGATTTTGTCCATCCACAACTTGGGGATCCCTGCCTTCGCCTCGCGTTTTTCGCTTCTCGCCGAGCCTTGACATCGTAGCCCGCGTCTATGCGGAGCTCCACCGCTTTGCCGCCCTGTGCCTGCAACTCGAAAGTCCGCACGAAGCGGCACGAAAGGCCCGCGAAGGAACCACCGGTTCATTTGGCCAGGGTCAAAATCCCGTACCCTCAGTGAACATCCCAATCCCCACTAAAATAGACTAACCTACCTCAAAATGGTACCATTGGTTTGACCCACAGCTCATTTGGTCAGACTATGTCTAAGTGAACCCCGGCAAAAAAAACATAGCCGCTTGCTTCCTGGGTAGGCGTGTTCACATGATCTAAGCCACCTGACCCTTCCCCCTAAAACAAATCAATAGTGCTAGAAACCATGCAAAACCCCTCAACGAGTCACATGATTGACGTGGAATATGGAGACCCCATCGAAAATTGATATGTCCAGGGAACACTCTCAACATGATAAACACACACACGCGCACACACACACACACACACGAAAGAGGGTAGCCTTTTTGGGGTCCCTTTGAGAAACACCCGAGCCACCAGGTAAGCCATTGTTTTTCAGTCGCTTCCCAACAAAAAGGCAATGCCTAGGAGGGAAACACAGGAGATGCATCATTGCTTTGGCCTTCTGCCCACTTTTCAGGATTGTTGAAAGAGGATACCAACCCTAAACAAATCCTATTGGCTTTTAGGAGGCACATGAACTTTCAGTGGCTTCAAAACAAGTTTCTTTCCCCCTCAATGACCCTTCACTCCTACCCCAGAAGCCCTGCGTCTCGTGGAACCAAACTAGCCACGACTGCACACTGGCCCAGGACATCATGAGAGCCTACTAATCCTTTCCTGGAACTCTGCGCGGTGTCTGATGGAAACCAGCCAACTTCGACACATGACGCCCAAGGTCTCACATGCACACGCCCCGTGGCGATTGATTGCACTCCAAATGCCCCGTAATTTTTATCAACCCCTGGCTGAAACAAGAGGTTTTCCCAAATATGTACAGCACCCTTAAACAAAGCGGGTACTTGAGGAAGGGGCTACTTTGGCAGGAGGCTGGAGAAATGCGCATTTTCCCTCACAAGTTCAAGTCGAAGCGGCCAAGGTGCTGTTCAAACTTGCCAAGAAAAATCAACACCTACCCACATTCCGGGGACATGGGAAAGGACCCGGACCTGTGCAAATGAACCACTGGGGTCTTCTGGCCTGCGGAGAAAATTGGCCAGAAACAGTCCAAACTGCTTCCTTGACTCCGAGTTAAAGAGCACTGTTGACCCCTCCCCTTTGAACTGCTTTGAATGATTCTTGGCGGAATCAAGTCCCAATCTGCAAGAAGGTAAGTCGTCCTACGCTCCTAAACGTGAGAGCTCAGGGTCCTTGTTCAACAAAGTCGTCCATCAAACTTGTCTTCACAGCTGCTCACTCCCCGCAAAATGCAAAGATCTCTGAGAATTGTCTTCACAGGGTTCCCATATCTCCACTTTAAAGATCGCCCGCAAAAAGAACATTCACTTCAAATTGACCTGCGGTCATGAATCCATGTCCTCTGGATACCCTGGTCATGTGACACTTCAAATTGGCCAACCAAATGACGTTCATAGCCAATCTTCAAGGGGGAAATACTTCTGGGGATCCCATTTGTTGGATGCCGTTGGGTCGCTTCCCCGAGCAAAGGGAAGCCAACCGTCTTCCTGGTGAACCCCCTGTTCGTGGTTTAAATGAAGAAAGCTACCAAAACCCCTTCACTTGACCCACGTCTTCCCAAAACCAGATATTTGGAATCCGCTTCATGTTTGCCCTCCCCTAAAATATTAGTTGGAGAGACCCCAGAATAAGGCCAAGGCCCCCAAAGTCAACGCTGGCTTGAAGCAAGACCTCTGCCCGGCCTTAGTCACCAAACGGGCGTTGAGCACGCCAAGGGAGACCAACTGCGGCTTGTGCTTGGCGCTGCACCTTGCCACAAACCCCGATCCCCACACCTTGCCACAAACCCCGATCCCCATTCATGATGCGACATAGATACTCTTGCATCTCTTTCTGATTCATTCCTTTTGGTTGACCGGATTTACCTCAGCTTTTGCCTAACATCATACCTTTGATCCTGGCAACCGTGACCTGGCGTCATGTGGGAGCCGTGGTCCTCTCGGTTTCAATTTTGCAGTTTGACTGGTATCAGTTGCGGGTGGGCCTCTATTGGTTGCTGGCAAGTTTCTGGTGGTTCTGTTGTCAGCCATAGTTGATTGTCGTTCATACAAGTGTTTCATATATAGCTGACAATATTCCCACCAGAAACCCATAGAAAGCCACGCAGAACAAATACCAGCCAACCAGCGAAATGGATAGAAAAAAAGCATCCAAAACTGATACTCGAGCAATATCGTACGTTCGGCTATTGTATAGGATTCTGTACATGTCCACTTCCAGCACCAACCCTTCAAAGGTAGCTCGCCATTTTTCGTCCCTTCGTCCCGAAGGGCACTGAGCCAGACAGCCGTCGAAAGAACATGTAGGAAGGCATTCTGTAAAACGCTTCAATTTGCCGAAACATCATGTTGGAACGACCTTTAACAAGCACGTCACATAAAGACCTCTGCTCCTTAACTGACCTGTGAAATCCGGGATCAAGGCAAATGAGTAAAATAACACACCCTTCCCCCTTCACGACCATATGTGAGACATGGACATATATACACGCATAGATTCTGCGAATGTTACAACCATTCTCAACCTGAAATAGGAGGTAGACCCAAGTAAAGGACCTGTAACATGGGTTTTCGGAGATTTGCTCGCTTCATCATTGGGGCACGCACAGAAAGCTCCCGGTTTGGAGGTTAGGGGTGGTTTCCCATTTGCCTCATACAAAACCAATGGGCTCGAATCCCCTAAACCTGATCATATACTCGTATCATAAGACAATCAACACTAAAAACTATTCAGCAAACCCTAAGACATGCCGCCCCAGGGCCCCATGAGTTGGGCTAGTGAATCGGAGGCCGACTTGCGGCTGGCAACCTAACACCACAACTAAGCAAGCAAAAACACAAACCAACTGACCAAGCATGCAACAGCAAGCAACCCAGCAAGTACACCAATCTGAACTAAGATAGGCAATGTGCGATTCTGGTCAAGCCAAACACTCGTCCACCTAACTATATAATAAGCAAAAGTCAGAATATTATACGTGGTTCCTGTCCTTGACATAAGGATGTTAGTAAGTCCCTCGAACTGAGTGGTTTTGGGGGGGAATTCAGTGGGTTCCTCCCGGTCCCTCCCAACTGGACCATAGACCGCCGAGATTTTGGAACCTCAGAGCAGTTTCCCCGGGAACAAGACCACCCATGGCCCAAGAAGGCGTCGATTTCGACCGGGGAATGGCCGGGTGGAACTTGGGCCATTGGGCCACCCGCCCGAACAGCTTTTGATATGAAGCCCCAACCAGATCAAGGGTCTGCGATTTGCACCACAGACCCAAAACATTGTAGAGGACATCTCCTTTGGCTTCGAACCCTTTGGACATTTTGCAAAAAGGGATTCTCGACTTGCCTTGGGACTCGTTGACAGGGCGCGGCGGGGTGGTGCTGGTGATGAGCTGGTCACAGAAGGTCCACCAGCGCTCTATGGCCACCTGACATTCAGCCAAAGGGTATACAAGCCCATTAAGAACTACAAGGGGACCCAGGTTTTCCCACCCCAAACCCCATTTTTGGACCCCTACTTCAGGTTTTGGCGTTTGGGGGCCGAACAAAAACCGAAGGGGTCGGCAACTTCCACCAGAAATGCAAAGCGAGCGGCGGTGGCCAGATCCTCAGCAGGCTCGCCCTTCACCCTGACCATGACATCCTGCCTGAGGGGAGTCTGCCCCAAGGGTTTTTTCGGGGTTCCCAAGGGGGCGATTAAGGCGGCGGTTTTCCCGCGGTTCAATACCTCCAGCATTTGTCTGATGGCCGATTTGGCTTCTTGGTACAGCCCGGGTGACCGGAAAGGAGGATCGGCGTCCTTGCTCCACTCGAATTTCGACAGGTGCGATACACAATTCTTCCAGGAAACGTTGTCCGATCGCTGCCGCCAAGGACAAGCATTTGCTGGAACCCGTTCACCAAATGTTGGTCTAAACTAAAGTTGGGACCATGTCCTTTGGACAACTCCCAGACTTCTGAAGGCCCAGAACCGGGTGACTGGGTGTGCACCAGCCTTCCGAAATGAGAAAGCAAGCTTTATCAGTTGACTGTTCAAGCAGAAAAGAAACGCGCGCGAAACCAGAAGAGCGGGGGCGTTGGGTCGGGCTCTCGTGTTTTTTTGCTCATGTTGAAGGGGGGCCGCAGTATGTGCCATGGTCATTTGCTACACGTTTACTTGGTTGGGTCATCAAGAAGCTGGGCAAAGCAGTCGAGGCCCGGGTTGCCACCAAAAAGTTGCGAATGATGACTCATTCTGTGAAGGTTCACTTAGTATTGTTTCAGGTTCGTGAATTAGCTCCGGCCCAAACGCCTACTAGCTGGCGGGGCGGTGCAAGCCGAGTTTGGGGTTCGCTTGCAATGGAGGTTGGAGCACAGGTTGACATGGTGGTGGACATCCTTATCAAAGGATCGGAGGTGGCTTGCACGGTCACCGACAACGGCCAGCGCGTTCAGGTGGCAGGGCCCCTGCCAGGAGGGCCTCGGGTATCACTGTTTGGGTACACGGTGGAGATGGTGAAGCCGCTGAGGTTGCAGCCAGGTGTGGGCTCCTACGCTATGCAGGTTGGAGTGGCCACTGCCACGAGCATTCGCAATGTGGTGGAAGTTTGCACGGGCATCGGAGCACTTGGCCAAGGAGCCGAAGCTGCAGGTTTTGTGGTCACGGTGCAAAATGAGTTATCGCCAGCGATGATTTCCATTTTGGAGCGCAACACGCAGGCCAAGGTTGTGCCGGGTGATGTGTGCAGGCCCGAGGTTCGCAAATGCATTGCCCAAGCAGCGGGGGGACCAGCCCTTGTGTGTGCTGGCATATCATGCCAACCATACAGCAAACTGGGAGATGGTGCTGGAGGTGCTGACCAAAGAGCCCAAACCTTACCGGCCACGTTGCAGCTAGGTTGGATGATGCAGGCACCTGCCATAATCCTTGAATGCGTGGAGGGAGCAGCCAGCAATGGATGGGTACAGGACCAACTGCAGCAGTTTGTGAAGCGGACCGGATTTAGGCAAGTTCAAAAGGTCCTCCACTTGGATCGCGTTTGGTGTGCGCATAGAACCAGATGGTGGTGTGTTTTGCATCACCCACGGATGGGGAATGTGACCTTGCAAGACTTGCCGGAAATCCATAGTGTGCTCAGTGACGCCATTCCAAGCAGTGTCCCCATGACCGAGGAGGAGCAATGCCAACTGATGTTGACGGCATACGAACTGCGAAGGTTCGACGAGTTCGGGGGAGAGGCCGGCATTTTCAGGTATGTGGCCAAAGTGGACGGCAAAGCACCAACTTCCCTGCATAGCTGGGCCAATCAGTTGTATCCATGCAGATGCGGATGTCGGAAAGCAGCGTTTGCCGAGCAAAGGTTGTCGAGCAAGGGTCTGCACGCGTGGTTGTTCTGTGAAGGCTGGAAACAGCAGGAGTCGCAGCAAGTACCGCTCATCAGACACCCACATCCGTCAGAGATTGCAGCGGTGAACGGTCTGGATCCATGCATGGATTGGGGCAAGGACATGAGGCTCGCGGTAGCGGCTGTAGGACAGTTGGCCTCGCCAATCCAGTCGCTATGGGTAATGCTACCAATCAATCAGTGCATTGGTGAACTGTTGGGGGAGCCTGAAACCTTCTCCCACAGGGTACTGCACCAGTTCCTTGATACACATGTTGCCAAGTGCCGAGCAAGGTGGAACTACATTCCTGATGAGAATGCTCACCCGGACAGTCAAGTGCACGCGCATGAGCCAACTCAAATTGGCAGCCTAGGTACAGGGTCACTAGCACCGACCGATGCAATCCCACGTGGCACTATGTCAGGGAAGGGCGCCACAAGCCCGCAGCCAGATGTGCATGATGCCGACATAGGTCCTGCCTCAATTGGTTCCAACCACCCAGTGTGCGGCATTACCATAGCAAGTGTAGTACCAACACCAACCAAACGGCTGCAAGTGCAGGTCTGCTATGCAGATGAGCCGCCTGTGAAGCTGGCAGCAACTGCTGGTGCTACTGTCGGCAATGTGTGCATAGCTGAATCTCGCCTTCTCAACCAAGTCATTTCGACTGAGGGAAATGCCAAGCAGCAGTTAGGTGATTGCCAGGCTGTTTCGTGTCGCCAAGATCCGAACTCCAAACGAACCAAGCTGAACGCGGCAACTCAAGTTCAGCAAATGTGGGAGGGGCAGGTGTATGCAGTTGACTGTGCGAGTGTTGCCGAGTTGCGGAACCGTGTCATGCCAGCCAGCGAAAGATTGGAGATCCATGATGCACAGGGTAGTCTGTGGGCCGATGATGAAATCATGTTCCATATGCATCATATCATCCAGCCTTGGAGTGATTGGCCAATTCATGTAATGGACCCCATCATCAGCACGGCAGCCATTTGCCATCATGACCAAGGAATTGTCAGGGAGTGGGTGAATGCACAGCATTTCCGCAATGGGGAACAGGCAACTATCATCACAGTTGCGAATGTGTCCCAGCATTGGGTTCCGTTGGTCTTTGACCTTGGCAGCAGAATGTTGGTAGCTACGGTGGTTGAGCTTGACCAAGCTAGTCAGCGTTGTGTTGAGCTCTTGCAAAAGGCCCTGGCACAGGCGCTGAGAAAACCAGTCAAGGGAACCACAGGAGAGTGCCGGAGCCCGCCGAAGCATGGCCACTGCGGTTTTGAGGCAATCATGTTCTTGCTTAGGAGCATTGCAGGCCCGGAAGCGGCACGTGAATCCACTCCAGCCGGATTGAAAGCCATGTTTCGCCAAGTAGTCGCGCACCAAGGAGTTGCTTGTGTGCCATACCACCTTGCGGCAGGCAGGGCCCAGCAACGTGAGCAGGACGCCGTGGCAGACCAACTGCGCCAAACACTCAAGGACCATGGAGTCTTTGAGGACCGCATCAGTGAGCGCACCCAAGTAGTCATCACTGCCCTGGGGTTTGAAAAGGTCAAGGCCATTATGAGGGCGGCAAACCAATGGAACGCCCTCAAGCAAGCAGCCAACGAGCACAGACCAAAAGTGCAACTGGTGTGCGAGGATGAGTTGCAGAATCAAATCGCACAACGAGCCGCCAGTGGACAGCCAGTGGGGCGCAGGAACCAGCGCATGCAGAAAGGGGCCAGTGCTGCACGGCCGATCGTCGTCGTGCCAGGCTTGGTCCGCATCAAAGCAGATACATTTGTCAAGGAGAATGGCAAATTCCTGCCCCAGATCCAAATGCACCAGTTAGGTCCCCAAGCTGAGGGCGTTGTTGTTGCTAGTCTTGAACAGGCCCAACCATACCTGCAGGCAGGGAAAGCTGTCTCCACGGGAGCACTGGGCCTTCTGGTTATGGGCACAGATGAGCACATGAGTGATCTGCCAGTGCAGTCAATCCGCTTTCCCGCAGTGTGTGATGAAGGGCAGGACCCCACGCTTCTCACGGCCTCGTTAATCCAACTTGGCAAGGAAACAGTTGAGAAGCATGTCCCGGAGAATCGGCCAAGCGTTGATGCTGTCCCGGCAGCCACCATGCGAGTTGCAGTCTATCGTGATGAATGTACCGTGCCATGGGAGGAATTTTGCGCTAAGCCCATCAAAGCACTAGTGCAGCTGGTCCCTCTCCTCCAGTTGTGCAGGTCCACCGCGTGTGAGTGCAAAGGCTGGCACGACACGGCCAAGTTAGGGGTACATGATGTTATCATGGACATTTGGAGACGCCAATTCTCCAAGATGGGATTCCAGCAGAGTGCCCCGCACCAAGCTGCCATCTACACAGTGTTCATGAGAGTGCCTGCCACATTGGCAGTGGAGTTGCAGCAGTACTCGGGTAAAGATGGGGTTTACATTGTACATTGAACCCCGGTCGGCCAGTGGACAAGGGCCCGACCCAGTGTTTAGCGTCGTCTGGTTGCCCAAAGCCGGACTTGCTGAAACCAGAATGCAGATGCAGACACATGCACAAGCAATCGGCGTAGCTCGCCTGAACACCAGGTATGGCATTCGTGTGGCAGTGGCACAAGCTGAGCAGTTGCACCAGCAGTTGAAACCGGACACACCCTATCTCCGGTCTGGCGCCCGCTCCTTCTTTGAGATGGGTATGGAACCCAGCGGGCAGGGCTAGCAAAGGTGTTGAAGTCCATACAGTGGAGTGCAGTGCCATCGCAACCGTGCGGTTCCGACCATGACAATGCAGGGGTCAAGTGGATGGTGCAAGCCACGGAAGGGCCCCCCAAGAATGTCATTCACCTTGCCCATGGGGAAGTGCTCATTGTGCCGGTCACCAAAGTCAAACCAACAGGGGCACCGCTGGCAGGGGGGAGAGCTGGAGTGGATCCGCTCATCGCCAATGATCCGTGGGCCCAAGGCCGCAAGCAGCAGATTGGGCATGTGGGCGCAAGCCCTGTCCAGGCAACTCCACACACCGAAGTCTTGGCGAAGTTTGAAGCTCGCATCTTGGAACAAGTTGATAAGAGGGTCCAGGCAATTGCGAACGTGCCTGCCCAGTTGACTGACCTGGACAATCATGTGAAAGGGCTTGCTGCCAACCAGCACCAGATGGAACACTGGGTCAAAGAAACGGTCACCCAGCAACAGACCCAGATACAGCAAGTGAAGCAGACAGTGAGTGACCAGCAGAACCAACTTCAGAGCATGTTTGACACGCAGATGTCAAGACTGGAGGAGCTGCTGGCCAAGAGGGCGAGAC